GAAATTGGGAACTGTGTCCTGGGGGAAAAACATCAATTCTCAACTGCAGAATTATGGAAACCACACAGAAGTTTGCAGAACTGTTTCATAGTTATACGACATCATATCAACCTCAAGACAGTCCTTCAAAAGTATCATCTCCTCCTTTAGAGATGAAAGCTAATGCTAGGAGAAACTCTGGGAACAGATATTTGACCCACCCTGTTGGTGACAAGAGGGGATGTAGGTCAGGAAAGAAGGCACTCAGAAGAGATGATATTGAGGTTTGAAGAAAAGTAGTAATTGAGCCCAGAGTGGGAGAGGGAAAAAGGGGTTAAGAGACTCACATGGTGGGAAAAGAGAAAAGCGAAAGCAAGTGTTCTGATGAGGACAATGGGAGGGCTGGAGTCTCCAGAGTGTATAATATGTGAGGTGCAGAGTGTCTGGAAATGAAAGAAGTAGACAAGGGCCATAAAATGGCTGCCTCTTTGTGTTCCTTGAAGGACTTGAACTTTAAGCTAGAAGCAATGTGAAGGTTTGAAGGGTTTAATCCATGGAGTGCCTTAAACAGGCTTTCTTTACTCCAATATCACCTCCTAAGTGCTATTTGGAGAGCCCTTTTCCTTCCATTGCCCATCAGAAGAACCCAAGTGTGGACAGGGTCCTTGTTGCTTAAGGGGTCTCCATGCTCTGGGCTTGGTGCAGAGGGAGTGCTCAGCAAACATGGGCTGAGTGGGTGAAAAAAGAAGGAAGTGAGAAGGGAAGTGAGCAAAAAAAAAAAAAAAAACAAACTGGTAATTATGATAAACTAAGAGTAAATCCATGAATAGAACAAGATTATATAAAATAAGTTGATTGTGCTCCAGTGAGGAGGCATGGTGATTATAACAAATTTAAAAAGGATACATGTGATAAAAGTAGTGAGAAAAGAAAAGGAATCAGATTTTCATGGGAAATTCTCCTTTAAGGAGAGTCCTAAGCCATGGAGGAAATGGTGTCCAATTCTGTCTCGTCACCAAGAGAGCTGTTCTTGGGCACTTAGTATGACTGAGTATCAGCAAGTTGCTGAATTCTACCAGATATTATTTATCATTTATATGAGACAGGAAGAGGAATCCTAAATATCCCAGTGACCATGGGGACTTAGTTGACTTCTGAGGACTAAATGACATAAAGCTTTAGCAAGTTTGCCTGCATATTGTTCTTAAGTGTGAACAAGAAGCATTTGTTCTTGTGTGTATGTGTGCTATTTCATTTGGAAAATTCACAGTTCCTTATGTATATAAGGAAAAATAAAATCTCTGGGATCATAAATTCTGCCTACCTTCTGTGCATGACAAAGCCTCAGTATGGCCCCTTCCAAGTGTCATGCTGTGTCTGTGAAAGAGGGGTGCCCTGTTTTTTTTTTAAATGGTTTTGTCTTGCATTTTCTATAAATAATGCAGTAACTAAAGGATTCAGCTACAGAATCAGAGAGACCTTGGTTGGAAATAAGCTCACCCACTTATACCCATGTCTATTTTTCCACCTCACAGGAGGTAGAAATAATATCATCCAAATAATACCATGGATGGAAGGTGCTTTGCTGCATTCTAGCACAGAATAAACAAAGAACCAACTGGACTAGATTTACCCAGTAGGACAATAACTTATTTATCTTTGCTCTAAGATCAACCACAGTGTCTAAGAAAATTCATAACATTTCTGAATCTTCTCTTTCCATCTAAACGTAGAATTGCTGAACATGCTTCACACTGGATAGAACTTTCATAGAGTTATAAAGGGAAAACACTGATGACAATGGAGTATGAGAAACTTGTTCAGTGGTAACTTAGATGGATAAGAGTAATTTGGTCCCTTTACTTCATTATATGGAAGAGGCAACTGTGACACAGAAAGATGATGTGACTGCTCCAATATTGCATGGGACATACATCTGCACATTACACTGTAGGCTTTTGAAATTCTATGCCTATTGTAACCAGAGAACTTCTAGGTCCTGCTATGTATAAAGTGGAGACTTGGAAAAGCAGAGGGAGAGGAAAGCTAAGTTAGAGAGAGGACTGGCAAACTGCTAGCTTCTAAATGAAACTGAGTCCTATGGAGATGAGAAAACAAACCATAATCTGGGTGCATCCGATGAAACTATGTTGTTTTCATCCCCAAGTTCTCTTACCATCATCGTGATAATGTGCAGGTCTTATAGCAGCAATTGCACACATTTCATTCCTGGCCAGACATACTTCTCTTATTTGTTGTTGGATCAGAATTTACTGTCTAATCTATTCATTGTTGATCTATTAAGACAACTGATGGAACAACTAGACAGAAAATCTGGAAAGATATAGAAGAACTTAGCAATATCACTAAACAAGAATATCCAAGCCATCCAGCAACAACAGAACACACATTCTTTTCAAGTGCCTATCAAACATTCACCAAAACAGGCCAAATCTGGAGCAAAAGTTAAACATTAACAAGTTTAAAAGAACTGAACTTATATAGAGTCTGTTCTTTGACAACGGAATCAAATCATAATCAATAAGAGAAAACAAGAAAATTTCCGAACACTTGGAACCTAAAAGCACACTACTAAAAATCCATGGGTTAAAGAAAAAATTCTCAAAAGAAAATTTAAAAATATATTGAATTGAGGGCCTCCCCGGTGGCACAGCGGTTGAGCGCTGGGTTGCGAAGCTGCCTGTAGCCTCTGCAGCGCCGGTTCAATCCCTGGCTGCTCCCCGGCCACCAGAGGAGGGTCCCACATGGCGCGCAGACCTCTCCTGCCGCCAGCTGCTCCCCTCAGCAGTGTACTTCGGTCCTTCTGCCTGCTCTGCTCCCCGCTCTGGCTCTGGTGAATTCTCTCACCCTCCTGCGCTTCTGACTGTACCCAGTGCTTGTAAATAAATAAATAAATAAATAAATAAATAAATAAATAAATAAATCTTTAAAAAATATATATATATATATTGAATTGAATGAATGGAAATGAAAGCACAAAATATCAAAATCTGCGAGCTTAAGATAAAGCACCACAGAGCTGGCAATTTAAATCACTAAATGTTTCCAACAAAAATAGTCTTAAATCAGAAATCTAAGTGTTATCTTATAGAAGATCATCAAGAAAGAAGGACGAGGAGGTGGAGGGAGAAGACAAGAAGAAGGAGAGGAAAAGAAAGAGGAATTGGTGATAGAAGACTTTTGAAAAAGAGGAATAAAGGTAGAATTGCTCTACAAGATTTACTACATACTGATCAGTAAGTAGTGACACAATGATCAACATGCAGATAAATGAAACAAAATAGAGAACAAAGAGATAGCCCCCCAACTGAGCCAAAAGAATTTGTTTTAACGATTTATTTATTTATTTATTTATTTATTTGTTTGTTTGTTTGTTTGTTTGTTTATACAAGCACTAGGTACAGTCAGAAGCGCAGGAGAGTGAGAGAATTCACCAGAGCCAGAGCGGGGAACAGAACAGGCAGACTGACGAAGTACACTGCTGAGGGGAGCAGCAGGCCAGACAGGAGAGATCTGTCATGCCATGTGGGACCCTTGCCAGTGGCCAGGGATCAAAACAGCGCAGCAGAGGCTGCAGGCAGCTTCACAGCCCAGCGCTCAACTGCTGCACCACCAGGGGAGTCCATGAGCCAAAACATTTTTGACAAATATGCAAAAACAATTCAATATAGGAAGTAACTGGGTATCTACAGCCAAAACTGGTATCTATGTGCAAAAATTGAAAAAATAAGTAATTTAGTTCTAAACTGTACATCTTGATCTTACATAAAAACTAACTCAAAACTGACAATGAATTAAAATGTAAAAAATACAAAATTATAAACCTTTTAGAAGAAAACAAAGGAGAATATCTTCAGGAACTAGGGATTAATGAAAAGTTATTAGTCATTACTCCAGAATCATGCTCCGTAAAGGGAAAAAAATCAGTAAATTGGACTTAATCAATATAAAAAACTTCCCTCAGTTAGAGATCCTAAAAAGAGCATGAACTGCAAGGTACAAACTGAAAGAGAAAAAAAGCAAACTACATCTGGCAAAAGAATCCTCTCTAGTTTATATGAAGAACTCTTAATATGCAATAGAAAAAAATAAAATGACCTCATTTCTTACAGGGGCAAATAATATGAAGAGCTAGTTCAATGAAAAGGATTTACTGATGGCCAATAAGCATATAAAAGGAATTCAGTATTGCTAACCATTAGGAAAATACAAATTAAGAGCATAATGCAATAGCAACCTATTCTACCCAAGCAGTTAAATGAAAAAGTAGTGCTGGTAGGCACAGAAAATGGTACAGCCAAGTTAGACAAGAGTTTGACAATCTCTTAAAAAATTAAACGTACCTTCCTCACATGACATAGCAATCATATTCAAAGAGACTGAACCCAGAGAATAAAACCTATGTCCACACAAAATTCTTTACCCATATGTGCAGTTAGTGTATCTGTAATAGACAAAAATGGGAAACAACCAAAATATTCCTCACTGGTGGATGGATACACAATCTGTGGTATTTCCACACCATGGGTTACTCAGCAAAAATAAAGACCAAATGTTGTACACACACAATTTTTTTTAATGGATCCCAAAATCCTTTTGGTGAGAAAAGGAAAACCAATCTCAAAGTCTCAAGTACTGAATGATTGCATGTAGGTAACACTCTCAAAGTGACAGCCACACAGAAATGGAGAACAAATGAATGACTAACAGGGATTAGGAATTTTGGAGGAGGGAAGTGGGCAGGACTACAAAGACTTTACAAGGAGGGAGAGCTTTATGGTGATGAAACAACTCTATCTCGATTGCAACTGTCATTACACAAATCTACATGTGATGAGATGACAGGGGACCATGTACATGCCTCTTTATTTCCTAGTTTTGATATCAGATTATAGTCATGACTGTGTAGCTCCATTATCCTATGAATGTATATTTAAAAATTAAAAAATATATGTCATCACAGTATATTTTCAATTGGAATAACAAACGTCAGCACTCACTTCCAATGTCTGGTCTCAGCTTCTTATCATATTCTCTTAGCAACTTGTTTAGAATAAGAGTCACATCCGTGTCTTGGGATTTGGGAGCCAAGACCCACTTTTGGTTTGAAGATGAATCTTCATATTCATCCTCTTCCACCTTTCTGGACCTGTAATTATGGTACAAAGGGGGGACATAAGTTGCAGCAGTGGCTCCAGGAAGTGTTGGCCCAGCCAGCCAAATACCCTTCGAACTGGCAGAAATTTCCCAGTACCCTCAATTTAAGCAGTGGATTGCTTCTAAAATTAAAAAAAAAAAAATGAAACACAAATTAAAATGTAATAAGAAAAAAGTCACTGCTATTAACATGGCATAATGTTTTCATTAACTATCTCAAAATGACTCCCGACCAAGTTAAACTACAGACAAAGAGAGAAGCAAGGCAACCTCAAAAGCTGCAGCAGCAGGCTTGGCCTTCCTGGGATTCACTTTGAGAATCTCGGGAGGTAAAGGCACAAACCTGCCGACCTTTATCAGATGATGCCTTTATCACGCCATTTCCTTGCCCCAACACCAAGACTTCATTTTAGTTGGAGGTGAGAATATCTTTTACCAAGGGCACTCATGGAGGACAGTTGAGTGTGATTTCTATGCTCAGAGAAACTGGTATCTTTGGCAGATGGGGGGCACTAGGAGCTGGTCTGCTGGGCTAAGACATGGTGTGACAAGGAACAGAGATACTGGGTGATAAACATCCTCTGGCAATGTGACACGCCTCCCACAACACTGACTGAGTCATCTCTTGTGGAACAGGCTAATACAGACATTAAAAAAGAAAATCTAACATGTCACCATCAGTTTGTTCCCTTAATAAATGGTTCCAAATGAATGTCTGGGTTTCTCTGAGCTGGTGTCATGCACACCAGGGTGACACTCGGACAGGAGTACTTGACTGGAGAGGTTGCGCCATGACAAACCAGTTTTCTTAGTGAGTGAGGCTGTCTCCACATAAGTCTGTCTTTGAGGCTTGAAAGAGGAACATCTCCTGCCTAAAAGCAGCATTTCCAGGGCGCTGCCACTGAGCAGGGCAAGGAAACTCATGAAACAAACTTCCTGTGTAGTTTGTCAGTGTGCATGACTTAGAGACCCTTTCCTAAATGACTGGCTGTGAGTTCATTTCAGTTTAGCTTCCCAGACAGAAGGCACAATGTTTTTGTTTGTTTTTTTAAAAGATTTATTTATTTATTTATTTATTTATTTATTTATTTATTTATTTATTTATTTATTTATTTATACAAGACTTGGGGTATAAGCCAGATGCACGGGAGGGTGAGAGGATTCACCAGAGCCACAGCAGGGAACAGACCAGGCAGAATGACGAAATACACTGTTGAGGGGAGCAGCGGGTGGGACAGGAGAGGTCTGCTGCGCCATGTGGGACCCTCGCCGGCTGGCCAGGATCGAACCAGCGCTGCAAAGGCTGCAGACAGCTTCACAGTGCTGCGCTCAACTGCCTGTGCCACCAGAGGAGGCCCAAAAGGCACAATTTTAATGTCATCTCAGGACCACTGTGTTCTGGGATAGGATTCTTTAAGTTAATTTTTGGAATTGTTTCAGTTATCTATAATAAATATAAAACAAATTAAAAGAACAAACTTCTAAAAGTTCATTATCTCTATGTCGTCAGATCACGTATATATCATATCATTATATCCTATTTTATAACCACCTATGTAATCATATATATATGTCATACATTATACACCTGAGTCTTTTTTGAGTGGTGAGAAGACATAACATAGACTCAGGCAGGGTCAGGTAATCTGGACCTGAGTGGATGAGATTCTAATAATGGATGTGTGCATATGACCTGCAGAATGACTTCCCTTAAGTATTTCCTAGGCTGCTCTTAAACTTTAATTCTATTTTTTAAATGTCTATTGACTAGAAGGTTAAAATAAATCACCCATAGAAACTATAAATTGCTGTGGATTTTTATTCATACTGAATGTTCGCTATCAATAGGAACTCACAAAATTGGAGGCACACATTCAATAAGTGATGTGCTGTGTTTCATTCTTTGTAGAACTGAGCTTTTACAGATAATAGTTTAGAATTTAAGATGTCACTGTAAAATATTACTTTTATCAGGAATATTACTTTTATCATTTTGCAGAAAAAAAACAAAAATGATAAAGGATAGGGAGAAGTGGGTTCTGTATGGCACGGGTAGCTGGGGAGCCAGCCGCAGGACCTGGAAATTCAAATTCACTGGAACAGTGGCATCTGGGAGACTGTGGATGGAGGGGCAGCTTGCCCGGGCAGAATCACACAGAACATTCTCAGTACATATTCCAATGTGGCCACGGTGCTTTCCTCTCCCCTTCTGTTCTCCCTTTCTCCTCTGCGCCCTCCTCTCCTCTCTTACTCTCCCCTTCCCCTCTGCTTTACCCCCTCACCTCCTCCCCTCTCCAAGTGGCAGCTGTAACCACACGCCAGTCCAAGCTCTGGCCCATGGCTGCAGGTACCCAGGCTGAGCACACTCACCAACTCATCAGTTCTGTGTGCACAGCCTTTGTTTCTGAAAAATAGTTTGAGCTACTTCAATAACAGGTATTAGAATGAGCCAAATTCTCCCTCTAGTGGTGAGAAGAGGGTTTCCTGAAATGGCAAATGCTGCATCCTGGTAGGCCAGGCCAGGTGAGAGTGGGGAAAGGGAAAAAGAAAAAGAAGCAGCATCCCTTCGGGAGGTAAAAGAGACCCCAATTCTGTGACAGGGTTGGGGAGAACAATAGGCACCTCCGCACTGGGCTCTTCCAGTGCCAACCTCACTCAGTCCGCCGCAGAACTTCAGAAAATGAAGCTGAATCCTCCCATGCCAGTGCCAAACCACTACCAGCCCCAGGAAAAGCCTGGCTTTGCTGAAAACCAAATTTCACTGTAGGAGGCCCACTAGTATGTGAATAAGGCTAAAATTGCTTCCTAAATTTTAAGAGGTTATAGACCATTTTTATGAGCATTCTGTCATCAGGACTATAGGGTCTAAGCTCATCACTGCACTAAGCTTTTTCTTGCCAGCAGACTGGTGCTGTTTTGCCATCGTCAAGCAAGTACGCAACCCTCAGAGGTTATTTTCATGGCTTACACCTTCTTTTCACCCAGAAGCACAGAGACAAAGTCTGAAGTATTTTTAAACATTAAAAGGGAATCCTAAGTCTCAGAAAGCAGAGAGGCATCTTCAGGGTATCACCCAGATCCTGGGGTGACTTAATGCATTTTAATGTATAACAAGCTCATTTGTATGTATCAGATAGGGAGCTTTTCCCTTCAGGGAGTGGTCCAGCAACACCATAGAGCACAAGGGCCAGAGCCTTGTGCAAGGAACCTCAGCACCAGAAAGGCATTCCAGTGTGCAAATGAGTACCCTCTCAGCATTAACAGCAGTTCAAAAAGACAACTGTGGGCACCAGATTATTTTACATGTCTGTAAAACCCATTCAAAGAACAAAGACACTTTCAAAGGAGAGCCAGACAGCAATAAAATCAGTTTAAATTTTGGAATTTTAAAAACAGATATGCAGCCTCTACCAGGAAGGCTGGGGAACCAAATCAGACATAGAATATATTCAAATCATTACATCTGTCTGGATGGAATGAAGGATGAAGAATTCCAAGACAGTGTGTATTTGGGAATCCCTAGAAACCTGACTGGTTCAAGTTAGATGCCAAGCACATAAAGTACTGAGAACAATACGCAGCCTTCTACAAATCTAAACAGTGGATTCCCTAACCCACTGATGGCTACTTCATCAGTCAGGGGCAACAGGAAGGTCATGTACACATGACTTCAGACCTAGATTGATTTGGGACCTCTCAGTTATGCCTGGGTTGTCTGCCCGTCTCTCTGACTCTCAACAGATAAGATATATCATGGCAGAATCAACCTCAGAAAGTGCCCTTCCATTTCTCCCAAGACATCCAACACATAAAGTACTGAAAAACTTAGTGGAAAGGCCCAGGAGTGCCCTGCCTGGTGAACAGGGTGGCCTCAGAGTCTCCAGTGGCTCAGTCCTCCCAGGCAAATGCAACTCTTAGCCAGGACAGGTGGTTGGAGGGCAGAGCCAGGGCATTTTTCCTAGCGGCTCCAAACCCCTAGCAAAAATATGGAGTGAGAATGGGGGTGGGGAGTCAAGTCTTGCAGGATTTGCTAATGTGCCTTCCTACTTCCTTGTACTTCACAATATGAATGAAGACACAGACCTCTGGCATTGCCTGCGGGGCTTATGGCCCACAGGGGTGCTCTCTGACATCTAGCTCCCAGATCTAGGAAATGAAGATGTTTTAGGAGACCAGGGTGTTCTGCCATTCTTGGCATGGGGTTAGTGGGAGGGAAAGGGAGCTATTTCAATTTCTAAAGCACAGAGCAGCCTGCAGGTTCTGGGTCAGGAGACAGAAGGAAAGATACCAAACCCAGAATCTCCAGTTAAATTTACAGCAATTAGAGTTAACCCTTCTGGCTCCAATGCACTTCTATCCCCACAGGCTTCTTCTCTTCTTGTTGCATTTCTAAGCACCCATTCCTTGGGAGGAAGCCTAAAGGCATTTATGCTTAGAGAATGTCTTACAGTTACCAGGCAGAAACCTGGACAATTGCAACATACTTGCTTTATGACAGCAGGTGTGTGGCCCCTGGGTGAGAGTGGCTGGTTAGAAGAGGTGCCCCTGTGCACCTAAGCCTGTGCAGGCCCCGGGGCGAGGGGTTCTTTCGAAGAAGCAGGACGCCTAGTGTCCACCTAGTCCCAATGCTCCTCCAGCCGGGCTGCTGTTTGCCAGACTGGTTTAAACTGGGCAGCTAGGAATTCATGACTCCTGGATCCTGGGAAAATTCAGATTGATGAAAATAATCCAGGATCTCGGTGAACATGTGTGTGAGACCCTGGAACACTGGAGAGCTACAGGGTAGCTTAGGAGGAGGACTCTACCACTCCCCAATCATACTGGTTTTCCAAAAAACCCTTTAAAACACCAGATCCTAAAAGCTTCAGCAGCGGGGTAGAGCCCATTCATCTTGGAGTCCCCACACTGTCCACTGCAGGGAAGGCTACACCCTCCAGGCCTGGCCAGGAGACGCTGCTGGCCAAGGGAGGGGAAGACCGGACAGGTGAGGCGAGGCGAGGGCCCAATTCCCCTCTCCTCTCCTCCCCGAGGGACTCTGGCGGGCTCTGCCGCAGCCCAGCCGACGGCGGGAAGCGCCCGGGACTCGGGGCTGGCAGACAGCGCCCCCCGCCGCCCTCCCGCCCGGCTCAGAGACCCGGGGCTGCGAGCTCCGGGCGCCACTTACCGCGCGTGCAAGCCCGAGAACAGGCAGAGGAGGAGCAGCAGCTTCTGGGCCATGGTGCCGTGGCGCTCGGGGCTCGGGGCGCGGGTCGGAGGCCCGGGGTCGGGAGCGGCTTTCTCCGGAGCTTGGGCCTCCCTGGCTGGCTCTTCTCGCCGGCGCTGGCCTGAGAAGCCGCCGACTCCCCGGCGACCCCGGCGCGGAGCAGCCCACGACGGAAAGGTGTGGGTTCCCGCGGCCGGCCGCGCCCCCGACGGCCGGCAGGTCCGCGCGCGGCTCCTTGGGGCGCACGCGGGACTCCGGGGCTCCGCGGCGCGCCGCTCCTGCCCGCGCACCAGCGCCGGGTCCTCGCAGCCGGGTGGCGCGAGGGGGTGGGCGGCGGCGGTCCCTGGCCCCGCCGCCCGCACCCCGCCGCCCCGCGCGGCGCCGCCCACCCTGCCAGTCGCCGCCGCGCGCCGGGGCCCGGGCGGGGGGCTCTGCGCGCGGGGGGCAGCTGGGCGGCGGCGCTCGGCTACGTCTCCGAGGCGGTCCCGGCGGGGAGGAGTTCCCCAATTACACGCTTGGCAACGCGCGAGGCGAGGAAAGCGAGGTTTGAATGGACTCAGAGTTGGAGAGCTGGAAGGAGGCGGGGCTCAGCGGGCGTGGGGACACTTGGGGATCCCGCGGGGACCCGGAGGAGGGGCCCCAGAGTTTGGCACGTCGTCGTCCACAGAGAGCCCCCCGAGTCCGACGGGAGGCGCCCCGCCTGGCATTTCCACGCAGTGGAGCGGGTCTCCCGCGCCCGCTCGCCTCCTGCTGCGGCCCCCCCGGCGCGCTCCACCCGCCGCGCCACCGCCCAGGCCGGGGTGCTGCGCTGGAAGCCGCCCTGCCGCCGCGCGCGCCGTGCTGGCTGCACCCAACTTCTGTGCACTCAGATTCTGTGTGGAAAAGTGCCTCGATGGGAAATATTTGTCGAAACACACCCAACGGGTACCTCTCCCACAGAAGAGACTAACATGTACTGTAAAACAGTGGCGATGAAAAGGAAGATTAACTATTAACGGCGGGAGAAAGTAAACCCCCAAGCAAAAAAGCAAAAGACTTTCCATTAAAGATCACTTCAGCCCATGTATTTTCATACTCAAAGACTAAAAATTGCGTTTATTTTTTTCATTTGCAACAATCATTCAGGAAGACAATCATTCGTGGAAGACAAAAGCTAAATAACAAAATAAATCCACCAAGTTTGCTTTTATATTGCAAAAATAAAATAGTTCTTGGAAAGTATTTTTTCTGTTTTGAACTGCTACTCACAGAATTGTGAAAGGGTGTGACAGCTGTTCCTTTAATATTGTCCACAGCTGGTAATATATTTACCAGAAGTTGAAAGTTGTCTGGTGTTTACCCCCTTATTGCTGTGTTCACCCCCACTTATTTCTGGGTTCACCAACATAAACGTGGTGTGGAGTGGAGTGGAGGGAAGTAGATGATGAGGGTATTTTTTTTTTAAGATTTATTTATTTTATTTATACATGCACCGGGTATAGTCAGAAGCGCGGGAGGGTGAGAGAATTCACCAGAACCAGAGTGGGGAGCAGAACAGGCAGACTGATGAAATACACTGCTGAGGGGAGCAACGGGCATGGCAGGAGAGGTCTGTCACGCCATGTGTGACCCTCAACTGCAGCAGGGATTGAACAGACACTGCAGAGGCTTCGGGCAGCTTCACAGCCCAGCGCTCAACCTCTGAGCCAGGGGAGGCCAGATAAGGGTAATTTTTAACCTTGGCCTTGGCCTCTTCCTGTCTCTAGCCCCTTCAAAGGGCTCCCTTTCTCCTTTCCACATTGCTCCTAAGTAAAGGCACAGACCCCACCCAGGTCATCTCTGCTGGGAATACTCCTAACCATTCTGCCACTTCCCACACCTCTAACACGTCTTCCAGCTTCAGGGGAATATGAGCCTTTGTCACACTCTGCCTATGTTCTTATTTTCTCTGTCACACAATCGAGCACTTGAAAGATCAGTTGGGCGATGACTTACCCTTCAGTGGTTCCTTACAGGAATATGTCAAGTCTCCCTATAGCTTGTAAGTGTGCTGAGAGGAAACAGGAAGTGAAAAGAAGCCTTCCTTCTGCATCTCAATTTTTAGCACAGTACTAGGAAAACTGGCAAATGGAAACCTTGAACCTGAAAGGACTGGTGTGAAGGTATTACATAGATTAACTGATTGTAATGTTCACATTATCCCCATTTCAAACATGGAAAGAGAGCACAGAGAAGTAAGTCACCTCCCCAAGATCACACAGCTAGCAGGGCAAGCATTGGGAGTTGGGACCCAGGTAATGATTCCAGCACCTTCATCTTAATCTCTTTGCCATACAGCCTTTCAGATGACAGGAGCTGAGTAATTTATCACTTGTTGTTTGTTTCTTTGACCAAAGTTTTATACTCCTTTCTCTATTCCTTATTATTTGGGCATGAGTACAAATGCTTCCAAGTTGTATGTAATAAAAACAAACCAACACTTGAATGTTTTTGTAAAGGAACAGCAATAGTGAGAAGCCTGCCTATGCCGTGAAATTTTTACAACTGAATCAATTAAAAAGAAAAAAAAATTTTTGCAACCTTATGTTGTTTATTCTTCTCCTTTTCTTGCATCTGTTCAATTATCAGGAATGAGTGCAACCTCCTCTCCTCTGGTGTTTGGAAAGCTTTTATCCATTTATTAAACTCAGTGAGACCTCCTGGTAGACTTGAACATGTGACCCTGGAAAATCCCCCTGCTGGAGATGTGGTCTGGAACATGATTTTTTTTGTCTTTTTCTTTTTTTTTTTTTTGAAGTTAAAGGATTTGAGAGGAAGGGAAAATTCAAATCAAGCTTTCTGAGGGTAAGTGTAAAAGCAAAATTGCAAGGTTGAGAATCTTCAAAGGACCAACTTTGCCCAGCTTGGGGTTCTGTGGGGTGAGCAAAGAGGGAGGGAGAAGGAGAAGGGACTGGGGGGGGTGGAGAGAGAGAGAGAGAGAGAGAGAGAGAGAGAGAGAGAGAGCGCATGCTCCATAAAGCTCGCCTGCCTCTCCTCTCACGCTCGATCTCCCTCCCTCCCTCTCTGTCTCTCTTTCTCTCTGACTCTGTCTCCGTCTGTCTGTCTGTCTGTCTCTCTCCCCTCCCCCACCCCTCCTTATTCCTCCTCAGCCGCAGAGTAGCCACGCTTGGGATTATCACTTGCGCTCCATTTCCCAAGTTTGCAGGAAAACAAAGGAAAATAAGAAGTCGTACGGGGTTGAGAAGGGATCTGGTCGACCGAAGCCGTCCCCCTTGTGTGGTTACCGAGCGTTTCTCCAGCCAGGCGCGCTGTGACGCGAGTGTAGACAGCAGGGTTTGCGGGGAGGCCCCGGGCTGGCGCGGGCAGGTGTGGGCTGCAGCGGAAGGAACCCGAGCGGGCAGCCTGCCTGGCTGTCTGGGCTAGGGACCCTCTGCCGGCTCCTCGGAGAAATACCTCTCAGGATTCCTTTTCCCGGTCTCGCTTCACCTCCTACAGGGCCGGAGAACCCCAGCGAAAGGGCTGCTCAGAGTAATCGGGCTAGTGCATCCCTTAGGCGTATTCTTTATTGCTTCTGGGTTTTCTGTTGAATAAAATCTCTTCCGTACTTGAAATAACACTTTAAAATTGTATTAAGTTTTATTATACCTTTAAAAAAAGCACCTTTCCACCCTCAACTCAAAAAAAAAAAAAAAATGATTGTCAAGGTAATAAATAGACACGCAACTCAAAAGTACAGCTCAAAGAAACTTTACACGTGTTATGAGACCAGCGTGTCTGTACCATCCAGATTAAGGCAGATAATGTTTTCTCTGTGCTGCCCCACAATCCCTGGACCAGCTGCACCCTCAGTACCAACCCTAGGGACCAGGATCCTATTCCGCTTCCTGTCACAACAGACTGGCTTGGCCTAAACCTAAATGGCACATAGAATCTTCTGGTCTGCTCTGTGTAACCTCTGGCTTCTTCCACCCAGTAGATTATCTGCAAGATGTATGCAAGCTGCTTCAAGCAGAACTAATTCATTACTCTTTATGGCTGCAGGTGGCATCTTATTGCCGCAGTCAATATTCCACACACTATTTAGCTGACATGACGGTTCTCACACATGTCTTGGTGGCTATATGTGCTCACTGCTCTTGCTTATCTGACTAAAAGTGGAATTTTTAAGTCCAAGGGAAGGCTTTTGTTTAGAAGTCATACATACTATTGAAAACAAAAGAGATTTCCAGAATGCTTATATCCATCTACTACCCACTGGCTGTGTATGAGTGCCACACTTCCCCTCAACCAAGAGCAGCCCTGTTGTTCTTTACAATTATTACAGCCGGTCTGACGGATCTTTCTGGTTTAATCTCACTGAGCACCTTTTGTATTCTTAACAGCCACTGAAGTATCTGCCTTTATGAAATGTGATTGCAGGCTTTTGCCCATTTTCACATGAGCCTGTTGCATCTTCTTGTTTATAGAAGCATGTTATATACTTTTGCTGAGTCTTTAATGTGTATATGTTCTCTCAGTCAATGGTTTGCCTTTAACTATCCAAGTGGTTTATGAATGTCATTATTTTGTTTCGTATTTAACAAATCATTACCTACTCAGAAGTCATAAAAATAGTCTACTATGTTTTCTTCTAAAAGTTTTGGAAGCCCCTCTTTTAAGTCTAGATTTCACTTGTAGTTAATTTTTATATATAATTTCATTTATGATTCAATCTATTTTCAGACAGATAGCTAATTGACCTAACATGGTTTATTTAAAACATTTTACCATTGAATTTGCATAAATCAAGTGACCATATATGAATTTTTGTCTAGGCTTTGTGTTTCTTTTGACTTATTTATATTAGCACCATTAGCGGACTTTTTCATTACTACAACTTTAAAATTGTTCTTAAAGTCTATTTTTAGTATTCTATATTTATTCTTTTAGCTGTCCTCAGCAGTCTGAATTTCCATATAAGTCAGCTTATGCATTTTCCTCCAATTTTTGAAACTGAAATATTCATAAGCTTAAAAATAAATGTATAAGAATAATACAATTTTTTCCACACAACATAATCTACAGTCTATAGTTGAATTTTATTAATTGTTCCAATTATTTCTTT